ACTACAATAGGCAGCACTTTATGAAACACACAAAAATAAGAGAGGAATCCTTTTTCCTATCCCTCTTTCCTGTCAAATTGCTTTTCAATGAACCCCACTTTTGCAAGAAAGTAAAAAAAAAAGAACATTGCCAGCTCAAAAAGACAATGACCAAAAATAAATGCATCTCAGATGTCCTCTCTCCCACTTAATTACACAGACTGTGAGACGTGAGACAAACCTTTCCAGCCCGGGTCAAGCATCCAATCTATGAAGCAATTCTTTTTTTCTTTCTTTTTAAACAAAGACAAACTCTGACACACAGCTGCTTTTAACTTATTTGGACCGTTTGAGAGGAAAAAAATTGACGTAATGTGACCAACTCTGGATTAGCCCAAATTCTCTACCTCACATTACGTCACTTTTACAGCCAAATAAACAATCTTAAGGGTAACATAAAACTGTGCTATAAAGGCACCATGACAGAACCCAAGATTCTTACACTAATTGTTTTATTGACACACAAAGTGCTTCCAAAGTGTGAGCTAATGACCAGGTGAAGTGCTTTAAGTAGAATCAGATATGAAAAGAAAATCTAAGTTAAAGCAAAGGTCCGGTTTCAGTAGTTTCACATAGTATGATGCAAATAAATGAGCCTTGTTATCAAGGACATTTACAGTGGAAGATATCCACTGTGGGGCCCGACCAGAGGCAAACTGTATTCCAGATGTTTGCCTCCATTTGACTGGAGTCATTTGGTTTAACCTTTCTGGCACGGGAGCAGACATTCAATTAGTGGATTTCACACTTTGGTCATGGAGACACTGTGGTCCTGGCTTTGGTTTCAATCAGCCACTAGTTGTGCACCCGCTCTAATTTCCATCTGTAGGACCACTCAATAAAATTGTCTCTTCTGCACGCACAAATGTGTCGTTAAAGATACAAAAAAACATGTTTAATATTTAGCCCAAATCATCCCCTTAAAATAGCCTCCAGTCCTAGAGTCGTATACTGACCAGCCCCATAACGAGTAACCAGGGTGCTGGACTCGTGACAGGAGCTCTGCCATCTCAAAAGGCACGAAAACGCAGATGATGCGGTCTGTATGAATGGGACCACAGTAAAATTTCTGTTTCATGTTTTTGTAACATGCTCTCAAAAGAATGCCAACTACTTCATCTGCACCAACCAAAGGAGGCTGGTTATCATTTTATTCATGCCCAGAACGAGTCAGTTACGAAACGGAAAGAGGAGGGAATTAAAAAAAAGGACTGTTTCAAAGTATTTTGACTTCCAGACTGCTGCTGGAGAGAAACAACCCAATGCTTTTATGCTTTTCTTGTGGCTTAAGTGGAGGAGAGCAGCGCTCAGCGGGGCGCACTGAGGAAAATGCTTTGAGATTTTTTAATGGTCCAAACACGGAGCCTTGAGGAACCACGGACTCTGATGCATGAAATCCATCGTCTGCCAACTGCTGTTCGTGCCATCTTTAACCAATACATTATTAAAGTTCAGCTAGTTCCCCTTCAAAAATAAAATAAAATATTTAGGTTTCAATTTCACAGCTGTTAACACGAAAACAGCAAAGAACTATTTAACACGTTTAAAACAAAAGGGGACACTAGTAGGAGAGTGGAGATGACAAATAAACTGCAATTTAAGAGTCATGCAATATGATCCCCCCTTGATCTAACCTTTCTCTTTCACAAACAAAAAGAAACTCCGCAATAAAAGGAGACAAAAATCTCTGTCACACCTTGTCAACCCTGCTGACAGACTCTCTCCTGAAGCCATAACAGCACAGCAACCTTAAACCATTAATATGCCTCCTAACACATGCAGGTGTTGGAGGATGATGACGCCTTTCCTGGAAAGTTTATTAAAAAGTGAAAAAAAAAAAAAAAAGCTTTAACAATAATTGATAAACTGATTTTTCCCCCCCTTTTTTTCTTGTACTTATATTTTTCAACAACTTAAACTAATATCAACAAAGATGCAGACACCTCTGGAGAAAATATACAAAGCTCGGTACTGACAACCACAAAACAGTCAATAACCCATTAAGTAGCTGCCAGTTAGAAACTCAGTTGGATAAATGTTCAGTAGAGACATTAGTAGAGACAGTCCAACCTGCTTAACGGGGCCACAAATATGGTTTAAACTTTACGTTTTTTCTCTCCCTAAAAATAGTAACCATACTAAACTATAATGTTTTAAAGGTTAATAAAGTATTTCCTGAGAAAATAAATTCCTTAAAATCCTTTCTGTTTGATCACTCATCTTTGCCGGAAATGGGATCCTATGCTACTTCCGATTGCCTCGTGAGACCATCCTGATCTCGCGAGCTTTCAAGATTTCACTCGCTAATCAGTCTGGAGACTCTCC